GCCAGTCCGGGCTGGCTCTCAGCCCCGTGTTGGGGTGTTTTTGCCAGGAGGGGAGCTCTACACTGGCCTCACTGCGGATTTCCTGGGCCGCGATCCCGGTATCTTCCGCAGCATGGGGACCCGCTCTGCCCTGCGCACCGAGGTGGATCAGCGCTTATTGAATGGTGAGGGCTCCTCTCTGCTCCTCCATCCTCCCCGGCCAGGCCAATTCTGGGGACCATGAGCCTTGTGGTGGCCCAGGGCACCCACTGGCCATGGCACAGTGTCCTCTGTACTGAGGAAAGGCACCAGGGCAGGGTGGTGTGAGGGTCCTCCTGGCCGTCATCTAGCCCCGGTGTGGTGTGGGTGTTCAGAGGCAGTGGCTGTGCCCTCTTCCCTCACCTGATGCAGCCGGCTCTTGCTTGTAGATCCCAAATTCGTGGCAGCCCACTTGATCCCAGACAACAATGACCAAGATAACGACAAAGCCTATTTCTTCTTCACGGAGAAGGTGGTGGAGATGGACAGCAAGGAGCACGCCATCGTCAGCCGAGTGGCGCGGGTCTGCGTGGTGAGATGCTGGTGGGGATTGCAGGGACAGGGATACCCCAAATCACAGCAGTGGTCCTGATTCTCCCTGTCCCTGCAGAATGATGCTGGAGGCCAGAGGGTGCTGGTCAACAAGTGGAGCACCTTCAATAAAGCCCGACTGGTGTGCTCCGTCCCTGGCCCTGGTGGCATTGACACCCACTTTGATGAGCTGGGTAAGGGTTGCATGGAGCTGGGGACCTCACCAGGGCTTGGTTGGTGGCTTCGGGAAGCTCCTGGTCTTCCAAGAGAAACCCCACGGCTTGGCTGTCTCATCCCCAGAGGATGTCTTCTTGCTGAGGACGAAGGATGGAAAGAGCCCGGAGATCTACGCCCTCTTCAGCACCGTCAGGTGAGTGGTCCAGCCCCAGCCTCTGGGGACACCCAGCTCAGCCACCCATGGCCTGCCCCAGCGCCATCACCGTGTGGCTGCTGGCTGCTCCCCAGCCTCCGCCAGCTCTGCCCCGGTCTCTACAGAGACGTTGGCACTCCCACGCTTCCCACCAATGCTGCCAGCACTGAGTGTGGCCCTGCTCGCCCATTCACCGTCTCCTTTCAGCCATGTCTTCCAGGGCTTCGCCATCTGCGTGTATCACATGGCCGACATCCGGGAAGTCTTCAATGGGCCCTTTGCCCACCGGGACAGCCCCCACCACCAGTGGAGTGCCTACGAGGGCAGGGTGCCCTACCCACGGCCGGGTGTGGTAAGCAACTCCGGGTCCCTTCTGCTCCTCTCGTTGCTCTTCCAGGGGATGGGATGGGGCTGATGCTCCATTTTCTCACCTGCTGGGATCCACCTGGGTCAGCTGAGGATCAAGGTCTGGCAAAGGGGTGGAGAAGATGGATCCCAAACTGGAAGGCAGGAAGGGACCCAAACTAATTCTGTGGGGTGATAGAGGTGGAAGGATGGATGGGTGCTGTGGTGGCCGGGCTGAGCTGGTCCCCTCTCATCCCCGCAGTGTCCCAGCAAGACCACCAACCAGCCCCGGCGGCAGTACGGCTCCACCAAGGACTTCCCCGATGAGGTGCTGCACTTTGCCCGCGCTCACCCCCTCATGTACAAGCCCGTGTATCCCCGGCACCGCCGGCCCCTCCTGGTGAAGACTGACCTGCCCCACCGCCTGCGCCAGATCGTGGTGGACCGGGTGGAGGCTGAGGACGGGCAGCACAACGTCCTCTTCCTCGGGACGGGTGAGCGGCAGGAGCAGCGTGCAGGAAGCAGCCCCGGTGCCGGGGTAACCAGTGGGCATGCAGCTGGAGTGCGCCATGGCAGGGTGCTCACACCTCCACCCCCCTGCTCTTTCTCCCCACAGACGCTGGCTCAGTGCTGAAGGTGGTGGTCCTGCAGAAGACAAGCTCAGCTGCGGCCGAGGAAGTCATCCTGGAAGAGCTGCAGGTTTTTAAGGTGCCGTTTGCAGAGTGTGGTCAGGTTGGGCACTGGGAGGGCAGAGGGGGTCTGGGGGTGTTTTCACCCTCCCCAAAAGCTTTCCTGGTGCCCTCCAAAGCTCTGGCAGTTCCAAATGAGCCGGGCTCTCCACGGTGAGGTTTTTGCCAACCTCGTGCTGGCTCTCCCCCCCTGCAGGCGCCCGTGCCCATCACCCAGATGGAGATCTCCGTCAAACGCGTGAGTATGGACACGGCTCGGCTGCGGGATGGGGGATGAGGCAGGTGACCAGGAGGGTCTGAGCTGTTGTCACCAGCCTCTCAAAGCCCGCATGGTTCTGGCCTCCTGGGGGTCCTGGCTGGGGACCCTGGGGGCTGTGCCCGTGAGGGCTGCCAGCTTCACCATCTTGGTGTTGTTCACTCAGCAAATGCTCTACGTGGGCTCCAGCCTGGGAGTGGCCCAGGTTCGGCTGCACCGGTGTGAGACTTACGGCACGACCTGCACCGAGTGCTGCCTGGCCAGGGATCCCTACTGCACCTGGGATGGCGCTGCCTGCATCCGCTACCAGCCCTCTGGCAAGCGCCGCTACCGCCGCCAGGACGTCCACCACGGCAACCCCGTCCACCAGTGTCTGGACCAGAACCTGACTGGTGAGAGACTGGGGGGTGCTCACGGGGCTGGGGAGGTCTCGTCCAGGTGCCCCAAGATGTCCCAGCATCCACAGCCCTTAGTATGCAGAGGGGCTTGTGGCCATCCCAGGTGGGCTGGAGGACCCTGGTCTCTGTGTCCTATAGGTCAAGGGTGCCCCAAGAGAAGGTGGGTGCTGCTGGGGCTGGGCTCTGTCCTTAGAGAGGGCGAGAAGGGGGCTGAAGCCATCCGGGCACGTGGAAGCCTGGCTCTGCCCTCCCTGTGAGCCCATGTCTGTCTTTGCCACAGTGGACGATTTTGAGAGCGTTGAGGAGAAGGTGCTTTACGGGGCGGAGGACAACAGCACCTTCCTGGACTGCACGCCCCGCTCCCCGCAGGCCAGCGTGCAGTGGTTCGTGCAGAGGCCCCCCAGTGAGCAGCGAGATGAGGTGAGGCTCCCCTCATGCCCACTTTGCTCCCCTTGTGACATGGGAACATGGGGCCGAACCCAGACCCCCCACAACCTTGTGGTGACTGACAGGTGAAGACAGACGAGCGGATCCCGCATCTTCCGCAAGCTGCACCGCCACGACGCTGGCGTCTACTACTGCAAGACGCTGGAGCACGGCTTCACCCAGACAGTGGCCAAGACGGCCCTGGAGGTGATCACCAGCGAGCAGCTGGCACACACCTTCCCCCGGCACTGGTGGGATGAGCCCCCCCGTCCACTTTGCCCTGAGCCCCGGTTAGGGTCACAGCCTCCCAAAACCTGGTTCAAGGACATCATGCACCTCATCAGCTCACAAAACCTGCGGCGGGTGGAGGAGTACTGCACCCGTCTCTGGTGCAGCAGCCGCCCCCACCACCGCAAGAGCAAGCTGGCCCAGACCAAGCATGCCCTGGCCGGCATGGACATGGGCAAGAAGAGACGGGAGGCCAAGCCCTATGGCGAGCGGAACCGCGTTCCCCGGCAAGTGGCGGCCACTTAGAGAGGGCAGGGTAATGACTGTGGGGCGGCTGTGGGCGAGGACCAGCTCCCCATGCTGCTGGTGGCCCCGGGGGCCTCCTGCCCTGGTGAGTGGCTTGCAGCAGCATCAGCCCAGTCGCTGCTGCA